TTTCCCCCCCCCCCCCCCCCTCCGTTCGTTAGACAAGCAGTTTAGATACAATGTACGTCGATGGAGCATAGTCGATGATGTAGGTATACGATAGTGTGACTAGAGATCGTCTACGACAATCGCTATTAATCGTGATCTATGCGAATTATTTGGTTAGACAATCGGTTAGTGGTGGTACCAGACGATATGGGTCTCCGGCTTCTTCGCTGATCCTTATTCTTCGTCCCAGAGACGCTTAGCGTTAGGAACTACGCGCGTAAAATCGTAGAGTATCGTGGAAGTATTTATTCGTGATGCTTAGAAAATACGAGCGAAACGCTTGGATGAGGAAAACGCGAACAACGAGGAACGATGATAGGCTCGAAAGGTTGGATCGCGGTGGTCGAAGCCGTCGAAGACGAAAAAGGCATTCGTTCAGCCGCGAAATTATCGTATCCGACAGACGTAAGCCTATTATCGTTCGAGTGATCGCGAAACTCTTTCCGGAGGCGTGCCACCGACAAATCTCCGCGAGCGTATGGCACGATGGAAATAAAACATTTTCTTCGGCCGCTCGGCTCGTTTTGCGATAGCGAGCCGGCCCAATCCGAGAGAAAGAGAGAACTTTCGGCATAACTCAGCCTCGTTATCTGACTCGCAAATAAGGCAACGGAAAAGTTCGCGACATCAATCTGGCCCTCTACCGGGAGATTCGAAGTTGAAACAATGCTTAAGTCACCCCTAACGTATGAGCCCCAAGGGGTGACGAGGCTAGCTGGCTGGTTTGGATGGCGAAGCCAGAGCTACCGATTCGATCTGCCAACCCGACCTCGCTCACCAATTTCGCTCCGTGGCCATTCCTCGAGTTCTGCCTCCGGTAGTCCGTTGGTCCGGTAGTCCGGTAAAGCTAGATTTACCGGCGCACCCCGCAACGGCCAGCAAAGTCGACTACAAGAACGGCCAAACTTTGATCACCCCTGAGCATTCGGTTTACCCGCATTGTTTCCTCGCGCGCTCTAACCTCATCCTGCCACCCCAGTCTCCACCCTTCTCTCTTTGCCTCTCTTGGCATCTCGTTTGCTCTTCCGTTCGCTGCCCACCTCGTCCTCCTCCTTGATTTTTACGCTCTACTTTAGCCTGCGTAATTCGAGCAATTAAACTTCGTCTAAACAGCACCAATGGTTCCGCGCGTGAGCCCACGCGTTCGCCTTTCGCAGCCCGGTTACACCTGTCGCGTCACTGTATGCGCAACCTTTTCGCGATAAATTCGCGAGCGATCGAGTGAAGAGAAGTTTGCTTGGCTGTAATAGATCCGACGGTCCGTCGAAACTCGTTGGGAATTACGGCGTGATAGGCATCGATTCGATACAATATCATCTAGCAGAGTTTTAGAGAGATAGAAGTTGTCATTGGAAAATGTTTGACATTTCTTTAACACGAGTCTACGGAAGATTTTTACGAACGTTCGTCTATTGGTCGTCGACACGACTCGCAGTGGTTGTCAGGAAAACGATCCTCGAACATGCATACAGGCTTTCGAGACTCCGGTAACGAGCGAACATTCCGAGTGTTACTACGATAGCGACAATGATGATAGAAGACGTCCGTGTCGTTAAACGAATTTGGCAACGCATTTGTGATACGATCGATACGTCTGCGTTTACTTCGTTTGTCATTTGGTATCGTAAGGTGTCTGCGCATTGATACCGTTTAAATTATTCATGGGGTTCAGGATGGTGTGGGTGCTCGTGCTCGCTGGCGCGGCGTAGCCATTGTGATTATGGGTCGCCTCTCCGTTCACTTGCCTCGGTGGTCCTCCGGGTGACATGATCTGAAAGACAGAAGGTTCGAGAAGTTAGAACGAGTTCGGCGATCGTTACGCGTGACGGATAAATCTCGATTAAATCTCTCTCGTAGAGTGCAGGCCGTGAAACGCGTCGGAGGCTTTTTCCTTCGCGATGCGAATGATTTCGAGGCTTCGTCTTAGCCCCGGGAGTAACGCGAAATACCGACAAGGCGGATAGAGAACTCGTAGTAGCGTAATTACATTCGCAATCAATCGACCGGGCAACGCCTTAATCCGATTAGAACAATTATTCACGACAGAGACTTAAAACTCGGAAGAGGGTGGGAGTCGCGCAGCGAAAGGGGTTGATGCCACTAACGAATTCGTTTTAGACACGCTGTTCTTGTTCTCGTTCCGCCGTGTCTACGCTTGCTACTCGAAAAACAAAAGGCCAGAAGAACGAACTTGTATCTCAGCTCAGACGGAGCGACTCGACTTGGGCGTTTCCGCTCGTCCCTTCTATCTTTTCCCTCTCGATATCCTCTCTTTCGTAGTCGTTCTTTCTCTTCCTCCCTGCCACTTGTCTCGGTGTTTAACCGGCTCTATCTGCGAGCCATATTCATCGGAACGACGCCGAGAGGGAGAGAAAGGGAGAATGCCGGTGGATGTAGTAGAGGGTACCACGGTGAACAAGAGATGCCGCTAGGATAGATAAGTGCCGTTGAAAACTTCAAACTTCGTATCTCTAGCTCCGTTGTTCCCTTCACCATCAGTTTCTCTTAGTTTCGCCGGTAAAGGTGTTAAATTATACAGGCTTAAAATTCGGCAGACCGTGCGGCACAGCCCCTACCGGCGAGATCCTCCCTTACCATGATTTTACTTCGCGAGTTGATCATGCCAACTTTCGCGCGATGAACGAACCTGCCATTCTCATGATTTCCCTCATGCACGGCGAACTTTCATGTCCACAAAGTGGCTGAACGGTTGGGGCGCGCCGGGGAAGAACGACAAGGCTGTTTAATAATTCTTTCGAATATGATACGCTCGAGGAGTGGCCTGAAATATGTACCCCTTTTAAATTGGAAAGTCTAAGGTGCCAGTGACAGAGAAAAATTCACACGGGCCGGCGGGGGCCAGTAATTAACCCGTAAATAATTACGATAAAAATGACAAAGCGCCGCTGAAGAAATGCTTTATCACCGTTGCAAGGGCGACTTTCTCCCCGGCAGGAATTTCTAAATCTCCTTGCCGCAACGAGAACCCTTTTTAGCTTTCCGCGAGCCCCGACGAGGACCAACGTCTTTCCTCCTCTCTTCTCGATACAAACGCCCCGCCATTTTATCTCTTTTCCTCCTCGCCTTTTCCTCTGGTTCTTTTCACCCCATCCCCGCCAGAACCCCGCACGTAATTAAGAAATCTCCGTGGAAGGCTCCGGACCGCTGTTGGTCGGTACCACGGGTTAAATTAAGTCTATGACTTATTCAAGTTTTATCTACAATTGCCAGAGAAGGAATTACTGTCCCGTGGATTTACTGCCGTCTTTGTAATCAAACGGCACGCGCTCTGCGAATCGCTTACACAGATACGGATTGCCGGTGCACAGTTATAAGATGAAATTGCTCAAATCTACCTCGCGATAGAAGTAATTTATATTAGCTAGATTCTGCTACGCGAGATTCGTAGGATTCGACGGAAATCGTCCCGAGGTGGCGCAGTTTTCAGAATCCGCGCGTTAGCTCTTTGGAACTCGGTTGAAATTATCCAGAACGTTAATTTAGGAAATTTAGAGCTTTTAAGGCATAGGAGGAACCTTCCTTGGGCTACCATGCCTGGTAGAGTCCCTCGAGAGGGACTCGAGATGCGTCTGGGATTCCCTGAATCTTCCGAGTCCCAGGATCCCACTATCTCCGGTGTTTCAGGGCCTCCGTTACTTCCTTCTTTTTTTTTTTTTTTTTTTAATACTTTCGAGTATCAATCCCAGTTCGGACTATCGAGTTTTCAAATCTGCCGCGCATTTTTCTTCGCGTTTATCGTGCCAGACAATGTACTTGTTAGACTTTTGTTAACTCTGTTGCACAATTTACCGCGCCAGGGTAAACGGATCTTTACACCTCGCCCACGAATAAGACATTAATCGCGACTCGACGAGAAGGTGAAGGCAGTTTGTAACTGACGGTAAATGCGGAGCATCGGGGGGTTGCCGGGGGTTGTCGGTGGTTACCGGGAGCTACGAGAATCGCGTGTCATTTGTCCGTTGATCTCCCGCGGCTGGGAATCGGCCAGGTGCAAGCTAGTTCCTCCACAGCGCTGCTTTTCTTAAGCGCAAAAATTAGCGCCACCCTCTACACCATTCGCCGCCCCTGAGCCTCGATTCTTGCTTCGGCTATCCACCGCCCGGGGCACGAGATGAGAATTAGCCACGTCGTTTATCGAAGGAGGATCATTTAGAACAGAATGCCGTGAACCTCGCTATTTTACCCGGGATTATTATATCGCGAAGGATTTCCTTAATGTGCTTCATCATTTGGGATTTCCAACTGTTCGGGGAGTTACTTCTGAAATACGGACGCACGCTGAACGATTCTTAATTAGCGCGAGGCATGCTCGTCCCCGATTACTGCGTGGAACACGTCGAAAAAGTTTCGAACCACCTTTAACGATCTTTTTCCGTGTTCGAAAAACGGATCGTACCGTTTCGACGGTCGATTAAACGCGACGCGAACGAGCTTCCTGTCGCAAATAAGTGGACGTGCGAGCAAGTCCACGCGCTACCTGTAATAATCGTTACAAAAGAGAGCAGAGGCCACGCAGCGTTCCGTTGTTTCGTAACTAAACTCGTAATCTCACATAAGCTCGCAAGCTGGGCTTTCCCATGCGAGCTTTCTCCGCGTGTATTGTGCAAGGGACTAGGTTGCAAGCTTTATGCGAAATGTAGTCAAGTACGGTGTACGAATCTAATAATACGTTCATTTACGAAAACGATGTACGCACTTGTGCCCCAGGGGAGTTCCTTTGTTTTCGGTTTACCTATATTTTTTATCGCGTTGTTCCTTCTTCCGAATATCATCGGTAGGTGGAATGGTGGATAACGTTTTAGGACGAGCGAATCGCGGTTCGGCACACCCGCGTCCAATAAGAATGACGTATATTCGGAAGTTTAATTTAATTCTGGTCCTCGGCGCACGTTCCACGAACTTTCGAGAGTCTAATCGCCTGGAAGAAGTATAGAAGACGTTGTAATACCTTATTCGCCGTACGAATCTCGTACTGCACATTGATCCTCTTAAATTCCCATGTAGTCTCCGTCTTGGCATTAGCATATTATCTTCCGCAACCTCCTCCTTCGCCGTTCCGCTTCTCTGTTCCCCAGTTCCGCCCCCTTCAACCCTCTGATTCGCGGAGGACTTTGCAGACACTTGAGAGTTTGTTTTAAAACTCAGATAATCGTTTCGAACTCCCTCCCTTTCCGCTGCTCTTCCTCTTTCTCCTTACGCATGGCTTCGCTCTTTCTTCCTCTCAGCCCCCCCCTCATCGCGGCCTATCCCTTTCCCACGCCGCGTTCCCCGTTCGGTCCCGAGGGAGAAATTAGATGAAAATAAGACTTCTCGCCAATTTTTAAACGCGTTACAGTTGTCTCCGTGGGAAATGGAGATTACGTCGTTGAAACGAAGTTTTTATCGCGGCGCTCCATATAAAAAGACGCTCCAACGATCGCGAATCGATTAGACCATCTCCTCTCGCGAACGCGTTCCTAAACGCGTCTAAAGAGCCACGTGACACGTTTGATAGATGAACAGCCACGAGCCTCTTTTCAACCAGACGTATTCCTGGCTGACGGAGAGAGCCGTAGGAACGGAAGGCGGCAGTTGTACGAGAGACAGGCCGATGGTAATTGAATTTATCGAGGGTGATGACCGTCGTATTTTTTCCATTCCTCCTTTCCTTCCTTTTTTCCCCGTCCTTTCCGCTTTTTCACCTCCATTGCCGGTCCGCCTAGGATCACTTGGCACGCTCGAGTTATTCGTAAACGCCGCACGGTCAGGCATTATTTACAAGAGCCGATGAGACCCGCCCCAAGCCCGGGTGCTACGGCTGCGAAAGATTGGGACAGCTGTCCGTTCTCAGGCAATCAGAAAAACTACCTTCCACCTCCTTCGGCCGAGGCAACTTCGCCATTCCCATAGCCGTGGCTTAAGGAGAGCGCCAAGGGTGGCAGCTGCCACGGCCGGGACGCGCACCCTCTTCGCGGTTTTTAAGAATCTTAACGCCTCCTTCTCTGCCCCATCTTTCCTCTCGATTTTGTCAAGTCGAGATAGCACGACCACTTTGCATTCCGTCGCGACGTTTAATTCCACCAACGAGCCTGCTGTTCCAAGGGTCGAATTATCCTTTCCTTCCTAACTCCTGTTGATCGTCGCTCCCGCCTAATCCGTTCCCACGATCTTTATACGCTCCAATGAAACGTTCCTCGAGAGGATCGCGGTAACTGATACGCGATCCTTCGATACCCCCGAAACGGAATCCGCGTACTCCTAGCCAGGGAAAATTAGTTTCGTCGATAACGCGTTACCGATTACGCGTAGTTTCGCGTTAACGAGAGTGACGCTTAACGAGTGACACGCGTAGCGAAACGATTCGCCAGCCGACGTTATCTGCGGCGTCAAACTCACGCCGGAAGCCAGCTGTCTCGGCGATTGTCTTTTCCATTCAGATGCTAAATGTCAGAACGACATTCACCGAGGAAACAGGACGGCCCTCGATGTCGCCGGGGTAGACACCTTCGGCTGTTCTCTGCGATCGGAGGCATTCACGCTCCAGGAATGACATGTCAAGAGGGATCCATCAGGCTTAGCGTAATAGATGCGCAAACTACATTAGCATGCCGCGTCGATTATTGGCATTAGTCTGCCATCCCGTTATTTCGCGGCATCGGTCATTTATAACCCCCAGTCGGAAACCCTCGAACGAAATCGATACTAACCGTGAACGCCTCGATCCTTCGTAGTGACGAGGAACGAAACGCGCGAGAAGTCGACCGACGTTGTTTCCAACGTTCGTGCTCGAAGCCTCGAAATCGTTCTAGCCGTCATTGCGTGCGGAAAGAGGAAAAAAATCGTTAGCGCGATCGCGGCGCCGCGATTTATGCGTTCCAACGTCGCGGACGATATTTCTTTTCGGTACGCGAGAAACAATCGTTGACCGGTTCTACTTTCGCACGTAATTTTTCTCTTTCTTACCGTACCGTCAGCCACGCGGGCTTTTTCTCCCCGACACCTCGATTCCGCCGCCCCGCCACATCGCCTCACGAGCCGTACGTGCAAACTGATATTAATTGAACTAAACACTCACGCACGAGGAGCGAGCCACGCATACGGGAGCGACCACGCACGCAGAAGGCTGCCGCGCCAGAACATGAACACTTACGTGGTTGTAGAAATAGAGTCGCAAGGGTTAGCAACCCCTGAATTACACGCAGTTCCCTGGCAGGACGGTTAAGGGGAGAAAATTTGCATATTATAAGTAGTACACGCTGCCGAGCCCGATATCATCGGACTGGGGACCTCGTTATTCTGTGCATGCGTACAATTCGAGCGTGTGCACCGGCAATCTAGGCTCTTCGACCACTCTTAAAACTTTGTCCCGAAACTTCCTTAACGATAGTCTCGAGCAATTATGCGAATCGCTCCCTTCGTAGACGGGATTAAGACTCGGGCTTGCTAAAAATTAAGCAATCGCCAGTGGGAAGCGTCGATGTGGAAAGGGGACACGGGGCTAGAAGCGTTTCGTCCGGGGTCGTTCTCTGATTCATCGGGACACCCGTCGATCTGGGCTATCGTACGAGTTCCGATAAGTTGATCGGTAAATATTGCACTTGGTAAATTACGGTACGTGACGCAAGCATGCAAAGCGACGTAAACATCCTTGCAAGACGAAGGTCGGATTAAGTAGATCGGATCCGCTCGGGTCAGACGGGCCGAGGTCCGCGGTACGGTAAAGGCTTAAGATATTGTTTCGAAGCACGGCTGTTGTCTTAAGATAATCAAGAAACCCAAACGGCTTAACCCGACGAGTTTATAATTCCAACTTGTAGAGTAAAGTAGTCTTTGGCGATTATCGGCAGACGTCTTCAGCGAGCATTCGACAAACAAGCTTCCGTATTATCTCTCGTCGGTGGGACACGCGATAAATCAATCCGTGGTCCGAGTATCATCGTCGTCGATTATAAATTTCCTTACGATTCCGTTCCGATGGACGACGCGTTCCAAATATTTCCTCGCGATCTATCCCCGGAGGACACTTTCCCCACTCGCAAGGGAGGAGGGCGAGTTCTTCGGCGGATGCGCGCGGATTTCGAGCGGGTAATTCCACTTAAGATGCTGGCGAATCCTTATTCGAAGGCTAAATTCTTTCGCACGTTCCAATCCCGCTGAAGAGGACGGATCGTTACGGTATGCGACGAGGCTTGCTTAACGGACGAGCTTAATTAATAAGGACACGCGATATCCTAACTCGTAAGACGATGGCGGGGCGCGGTAAAGCATAGCTGAAGCCTCGAGGGAGTCCTTTGTTGTCGAGAGGGTCAGGACGAGCGACCTGCCACTTTAACCCACCTTAAGGGGTTATGTCTTAAGGAGTTTTGAACCTTCCAGAACATCCGATGATCGTAATCTCCGGCAGATTCAAAGCAGGCCGGGTCTAGGTCGCGCGGGAAAGCGATACGCTTGCACGGTCAGCATACATACTTGCGATGGAACAGGGATATCGACGACATTTATAGCGGTATCGCTGTCAAAGGGTGTCAACCGGTATTCCCATATTCCATGGGATTATGCGGATCACGCGGCTAGCGTAATCGATGATCGCCAATGCGTGACGGTGTTTTCGAAAAATGGCGGACGATCGATACGCGAAGCGGTTTAATTACCTGTGGTTGAAGATGGATCACTTGTCTCTTGATATGCGCCAACGTGGCGGTCGATGGCGGATGCACCGCCATGTTTGCAAAAACCAGTCTTTCCTCGTAGTCGCTCTCGCACAGGATTTTATTCTCGCACAAGAAAAACTTGTCCCCTATACAGAATCTGCGAACAAGAACGGAAAAATTAAATTCTTTTTAGAAGAGTGTCGCGCGAAAACGGCAAAGCGTCGCGGGGATTAGTATGACGAAGCTGGAAAAATGGCAGAGGTTCGAAGAAATTCCGGCTAAGAGTTGTCGGGGATAGGCGGAGTAGTAAAGCGTGCTAATTCCTTTTAAGACCGTTTTCCGTTCTGCTCCGCCGAGGAAATTGCGAGAAAATAAAAACAAGCAGCGAAACGCCACCGGTGCCGTAGCTTCCGAGAGTGTCTTCGAGCTCCTTTAAATGTAAATTTCCACTCGATTCGCAGACGCTACATCGTACCTGGATTACCGCCGAGTCCTTTTCTCCTCTAACCTTCTTTCCTGCCCCTTTCGCAGACGCTGAATACCGGAATCGAAATCTTTTCTAACGACGCGCCAATAGCGTTTACGCGTTTTGTCCCCGAGATTCTGCCACACGCGTTCAACGACTCTACGCGAATCACCGATAACGGACGTCTCTTCTCACCGCGAACGATCGTAATTCGGACGTTGTCCGACACGAGCGAGGATGAACGCGAAGGCGTTTTAAAATTCAAGGTATAAAATCCACGGTATTTTCCAGTGATCCTGCGCGGCGTACGACTTACACGCGGAACGCAGATTTCGAAATGGTGGCGAAGTACGAACGTGCTTTGCTTGCGATATAAGAGAAATAAGGTTGCCGCGAGGGTTATACGCATCGACCAACTGTCGCCGGGCGGCGAGGAGGGACGCGTGGAAGAGGCGCTACTAAAATCAAAGATTTCGCATTTCTCCTTTTTATTGCCGGCTTAAAAGTCAATTTTTTCCGTAACCGCGCGAGAGAACGGGGCGCCGGATTCTAGATGTCCGCATAAAGGACGATACGCCGGAAATGCTAAAGAACCTCGGAAAACGAGGATCACGAGGGTGGCTGGTTTCCAACGAGCACAATAGATCCTCAGAGGATCCACGAGGGACTCGAAAATCGTTTTGTCAGGATACCGCGACGCCTTGATATTCTTGTCAGGTGCCGTGAACATCGCTCTCGGAGTGTTATACGTACTTCGTATCGAGCGTGGTATGACGAGCCAGTTCCCGCGATTTGTCTCCCAAGAATAAAACGCTGTCGCCCAGGAATGAACGTGTTATTTAATTCTGCCACGTGTCCGTTTAACGTGTATCGTGAAACGTAATCGCGAGTATCTCTGGATTAATGGTCGAAATATTAATTCGGCCATTTTCCTGCGATTTTCCAAGCGACATTTTGTCCCCGTTGGAAACTCGAGGTCTGAGAACGATGGGAAACCGCTCGTCGAGGCACGCAAACTTCGCGTAGGTGTAAACGTAGGGGGTGTATCTTAGTATCGTAACTCACCGGTGAATAATAAAAGCATTTTCTTTTTTTTTTTTTTTTTTTTTTTTTT